GGGCGGGCGGGCGGTGAGACGTTCTGCGGGTTGGCAACGGTTTGTGGCCCCCAAAGCTCAGCCCTGCGGGATAAAGCCTTACTCCGGAGCGGCGCCCCTCGCCCGTTTTCCTCCCTTGTGGGGTGAGAAGCATGATGAGGTTGGGAAGCTGCTGGTCTGGCCCGCGCCTGGGGCGTCACGTAGGCCCAGCGCACCTCCGTCATCAAGGGCTTGTCGTCTTCTCACCCGTCATGGTGTGCCCGGCACTCAAGCCCACACCATTGGGATTTGGGGAACTTTTGTCCACGTCTTACCACCCGCACTGGGCTGTGAACCCCTTCAGAGCAGAAAGCGCATCTTCTAGAGCTTCGCTCAGCGGGCAGCCAGCTGTCACATGCCCCCGCTGCAAAGGGGTGGGAGGGTTGGGGGTGCCCAGGACCCTTGACCTGAAGGATAGGACCTGTAAGAACTGCTGGTTAAACCATCTTTTGAGCAGTTTTGCTGTTCGGGCCTCTAGAATTTCACTGCCTAGTTAGCCTGTGTGAAGTCCTAAGTGAATTTTAAAGTGACATTACTTCCCCATATATGTAGTGTCACACTTGTAGATGACCCTGGAGTTCTCCCCTTGGGCATGTTTTAACGCCCCGGCTTCCTCACGGCAGCCTTTCGTAGAGGCGTCTGGCACACACCTGTGTATGCAAAAGGGTAGCTCAGAGGCCCGGACGCCTGGCCACTGGGCACACCTGATTAAACCATCACACCGTCCTGTGTGGGATCTCAGCTTTGCTGGTTTGTGCCCCCCAAAGAGACAAACCCATTTTAAACCTCTCAGTTTGTATTAATTTCAAATTAAGGATTCTGTGTGGTGACAATACTCCATCAAGGAGAGCGTGATGCCAGTTGATCTGGTACAGATAGCAAATTAAAACTTGCTTTCAACACTCCAGTGACTTATAAAAACTGTGATGAAATACTAATTTTTGCTGCCTTTTGATTAAAAGTGTTAAAATCCCCCCCCCCCCCCCCGTCAGCATTTAAAATGGACATGACTCAAAACTTTGTCTTTACTTGATGAGAAAAGGCCGTGTGGCAAGTCAAGTTCTTTTAAATGGGTGGTTTTTCTCCTCTTCCACCCACACAGCTTTGGTTCATGATGGATGTAGGTTTAAAACATATTATGCTGCCTTTTACTTCTGGCTTTTTAATTCTTTCTAATGACAACCTAGTACTTAGATAATTCAAATATCTTCCTGGCACTTAAAAACATGGCAGCTATGACTTTATTTACAACATGTGTGTCACGGGTGTATTCTGACTACATTATCAAAGTTAGGAATGCTGAAAATTGACCTCCTAACAGCCCACCTAATTGCTTGAACTTAACTCTGAATGCCCTTGTCCACTTTTGTTTTCATTTAGGAAAAAGGCCTGTGTCATATCAACACTTGTCTAGCAACATGCTGCAAAAGAGAAACTATGAGAATTTTATTGGGCATACACATTATCGACCAAATGACAAAAAAACTTGATTTCCTATTTTGGGGAAGAAAGGTGAGCATTCATAATGTATTTAATTGAAAGTAAACCATCTAGTTTATCCGGTGTAAAGTAGAATTGCTTTTAATTTTCATTGTGATTTTTTTTTTTTTTAGAGGTATTTTAAAACTTAGAGTGCTCAGGATAGAAACAGGGAAACAGCAACTGGAAGCTACTGAGCATTTCTTTTGTGCCAAGCCTTGAAGGGTTTAGGAACATGGCCTCATTTCATCCTCCTAGCGGGGGTAGGCGTGGGTCAGGCATTAGCAAACTGCTTGTTCTCTGCTTGTTTTTGTCAGTAAAGTTTTACTGGCACCTGGCCATGCCCATTCGTTCCCCTCTGTCTATGGCTGCTTCCTTGCTACCACTGCAGAGTTGGGTAGTTATTGCAGGGACCCCATGGCCTGTGACGCTGAAAATACTTACTGTTTGGCCCTTTTACCGAAAAAGTTTTTTGACCCCCAGGTGGGGATGTCCTGTACACACTTCACAGATGAGGAGACTGAAACTTGGGGTACGTCACCTGCCAATGCCCCACTCTGCTTGGTCTCTGCCCTAGGGCTGCAGGCCCCAAGCCTGTGCCTCCCACCCCCCACCCCCCCAGTTCTTTCTTCAAAGCTCGCTCAAAGCTGTTGACAGTTCTCATCTGTTGGGGGAAGGGATTAGGACAGGAGCAAGGAGAAGGTTTATTTTGACTTTTTGGTTCCCGTGGCACATGGATCGGACCACCCGAGACGTGAGTGTTCTCAGCGTGGTCTGCGTGTTAGTTTAGCTCCCCCCAGGCGTGGGCAGAGGGTGTGCTGTGCCTGTGAGAGTTACTGGAGGACCCCCCGTAGCTGCACATGACTGTCAGGAGCAGACCTCAGCATCAGGTTGTTGTGCTGTACATTACCACAGGCCAGCAACAGCAGGTGCCGCCTGCTCCGTCTGTCCAGCCCTGGCCTTTCTGCAGCCCCTGGCGTCCCTGCCTGCGGGTCCCTCTGCACAGAGCATCCCTCTGCACCATCTTTGTCAAACAACTCTGATACTCCAGGACCAGCTCACATATCATTTCTGCAAATGTGGGCCGGGAGCTGGGGCCCCCCTTGTATTCCCCGTGCACGTTCGTACCCACCTCCGCCCGTCTTACCTGTGTGGCCCACTCAGCACTAGCTGAGCTTGGAGGTGATCCCGTCATCAAGGTCCAGCCCGTTGCTGGGAGTACCGCTGATAACTTGATAGACGTTGGCTGAACAAATAACGTTATACATGTTTTATGCACCCTCCTCATGAAGGGAGGTTATTCTACGTCATTTGTTAATTATTCCTGGTCCATGCCATACATTTTCCTTCATAAGGTATAAACTTGCAGAGTTTCTTGTAGGCGGCAATGGCTTTGCCAGACTTAGTGTAACTGATACCCATTCTGATGCTTGGTTACATCACCTTTGTGAAATCACGGTTAAGTATATATTAGGTAGCTGCAGCATTATCTGTTTACCTAGTCTCCTAATAGCTGCAGAATTCAAGCTTACGTGGAGCCCACTGCCTTTCTAAGTTTCTTCAGTTTTATTTATTATACTTTTTTTAATAAAAAGGTTTTTCTAAACTATGTTCAGTTTTATCTTAATCACTTTTTAACCCTTTTTCCCCTGTAGGTCTTGATGGATGTGTGTACTCTCCATGAAATTGTTAGTTCATCCTTTGAGAAAGCAAACCGTGAAAGCTACTGAAATAAGCTGTGATTGTACTGTGCATACAATATACAAGGAACACACTACAGTTTTGTAAAGTTGTTCTGGTAACTTTTGTACCAAATAGCAATAAAAAACTATAGTTGGAACAGTTGGGTTGTACACAAATAGAGATGGGAAATCTCTATTTTGTCCCCGAATAATATTTTTTTTTAGAATTGACCAAATAAGAATGGAGTTTTTTGCATACTTGAGCGCTGCTGAAAAGAAATCATTTGGGTTGGGGGGTGGGGTGGGGAGAAAGTATATAATGCTTGCACCTCAGGTAAAAATCTGTAAATATATATAAGTTGTAAACCTGCTTGTTTAATACTATGTGTACTCTTTTTCTGTAATATAGCTCATCATTTTGAGCTATTTCTGCTTTTTTGTGCTTTTCATTTAAAATATGTTTTTAAAAAAAATTTTCTCAATGATTTGTATTATGTGAAATTGTCCACAGCCTCATGTCTTAAAATCGTCAATGAAAGCAGTGACCCTCTGTACGTGCTGCATATATTGAGGTCAGACATTCGGAACAAGGTGCCCCTTTTGTTGGAAATCTCAGCATGTCAGCTGAGGAAGGGGCCACATAGAGCCACCGTCCTTTCCTGAGGGGGTGGGGTGGTCATAGGATTTTTAAGTGCATGTGTCTGCAGGGAAGCATTTCCTCAGTAGCGCAGCCAAGTTTCCAGGAAACATACCAAACTGTATGTGGAGTTCCTTAAGTTAGTTTTCTATCAAATTAATCATTTTTGTAGGAAAATTCAATGTTTTGGGCGTTCGCCTAAATTAGTAGGTAAAAAGCATAACTCACCATGATACATGTGAATTAACATATGTTGGAAGCAGTTTTAAAGGAAAATGAAAGTTTGGGGGTAAATTTTAGTTTTGTATTTGGAGTCCTGGTGTGTCTGCATTTGAGTTAAGCTGGACACGTTCGAGTGAATTCCAGATGCATTGATTCTGAGGAGGGAGCTGCTGGCTGAGCCTCCTGGGACTCGGGGAAGAGGTACTGTTTCTAGACCTCAGCTGTCTTGTTTTTGGCTGTTTTGAAGCATTTTCTCAGCACATACGCAATTTGGTTTTTAAAGAGAGGCGAGCCCCCCCCCAGTTGGCTTAGTGGGTGTTTTAAAGTTTTATTTCCTCAATTTGCTGTAATGGCTGAGTGTCTTCAACAGTCCCTGGGTTTAGTAACCACAAAATATTTTATTAAGAAAACTTCCAAAAGTAAATTTGCACTGTTAATTTTCCTTGTCCTGCCCTTCTCCATTAGAGCAAGGGTTAAGTCCTAAAAGAATCCTATGATTTTTGTGTTGTTTTGTTACATTATGCAACACGAAGCGTACTTGATCAACACGTCTTAACTCCTGCGGAAGCGGGGGATGGCCTAATCTGAGGGCAGTCTGCTGGCATTGCAATGAAGTGCTTTGTATCAGGAAAGTGTACACTATTAACCGTTTTTCCTGTTCACAAGCTGAGCCATATGTACATAACCTAGATTTTTGTTTTCATAGTTTTGCACTTTTATAGCGTATTTTTGAAGATTAACACATTTGCGAGATGATTGACTTGATCGTTGCCTAATGCAATGAGTGTTACAGAAAGCTTGCTCCTGACTGTAAATGTAAATCTGAAATGGGGATATGTGATAATAGACAACTGAGATTTAAAACTGTATTAAAAAAAAAAATCACCAAATCTATTTGAAAACAAGTCAGTTCATGTTATGCTGAAATTTGGGGGGGCTTTCATAGTTTTCCTTTCTTACCAGATTTCTGAATGCATAAAAATACCAGTTTTTTTCCACAGCCCTTGTACTCCAAAATATGTTTTTGGTTTTTTTTTGTCCATCAGTATTAACTATTGGGATACTACTGGTTTTGTATGTTTTTTTTTCTTTGAGACAACAGTACATATAATAGAGGTACAATCTGTTGGATTTTTGTTTATGTATTTATTTCATTCCAGTTTGATTTATTTTAATTGTTGATAAGTTGTCAAACAGTAGACATTACTTGTTTTATTTATGATATATTTCAGCTTAAAGTTATGTTATTATATGTGGATGTAAATATAGATTTGGTGTTTTGCATTCTTGGATTTGTGTCTTTATTGTGTCTGTTTCTGATTTTCTTTTATTTAACTTTTTATAAATGCAGTTTTAAACATGCAGAGTTAGTAGAGAGATTAGTAAAATGACTACCGTTCTCCTTGTCAGCAACATTTTGTATCCTTTTGCAACTCCCCCGAGTATTTTTTAAAGCAAATCTCAGACACGATTTAATTTCATCGCTAAAATACTTGAGTATATACTTTTGACCGGTAAGGGCTTTTGATGATCACACCTAGCTAATAAACGCACAGGGATTTCTCCTAACCAGCATCCATGTCTGCATTCCCTGGTTGTCTCAAGTGTCTTCTGACAGTTGATAAATTGCAATCAGGATGCAAACAAAACGCCCTTAGTTTCAGGTTTCTTAAGGTTTCTTAAGCCTGTTTTAATCTAACCTCCCTCCCCCTCCACACACACTCATGAGACATTTTATTTATCGAAGAACTGGGTCATTTGTCCTATAGAAGTTCTCACATTCTGTTTTGGGTTTTTTGCATATTTGTGGATTTCCTCTAACCTGTTTTCTGCAGCCTCTGTATGTGCTGTAAACTGGTAAATTATATCTGGAGGTTTAAAGTGGATTTGAGCTCAGTTTTGGGCAGAAGGTGGCTGTGTACGTCCTATGGCATCACCACTGTACTCAGATGCTGTTTGGCTTTCCAACCTGCGGTGATGTTAGGTTTAATCAAGTAGGTTCAGATGCCACACGAACCAGCCCCTGTAAAGTTCCCCATCATCCTTTCTCTTCTGGGTTGTAGGGATGTTACAAAAGGCGATTTTATTTTTAAAAAAGTTCTTCCTTCTGCATTTACTCGTTGGCATTGTGAAGGGGACCTCACTTGTGAAAATTTAGTTACCCTGAAATACAGCTTAAACAAAAAGGGACAAACCTTGATTTTTCCTTGATGAACCAGCTTTGGGAGTAATGAACTGGTTCCCGGCATCTTCCAGACATGACTGGTACACAGATGTTCCCATTGTTTGGTATGAACGCATTGTACATGCGATGTGCTCTGAGCAATTGCCCGCATCAGTTTCCTGTCTCTGACCAACGGGGGCTCCAAGCTGGCTCTGTCTTTGGGGTGACATTCTGAAGGCTGTGACGAGCGAGATGTTGTGAGCTCATCTCGAGCATTTCTTGAGCCAGACCTGGAGTGTCACCTCTCCAAGGATCCTGGTTGCTTCCCCTGGGCCTTTCTGACGTAGGGAACAAGGAAATATATACATTTACATGTACAAAATATATACAAAAGACCTCGATGAAACTTTCGAATTCAAATCGAAGATGTTTTTACTTGGATTTTCTGTTTCACATTTCTGAAAACTTGGGTTCCTGATGGTAGTCACATAATGACTTACCTGCTTTATCCCACTGTATGTATCAAATGATGCCAACATTATCTACAACGTCATTACTAAGGGACGCGTTCAAAAAAAATTTATATAGTTTTGTTTACAGCAGTGGTTCTCAATTTGGTCCCAGAGTGGTGAAGGCATCCCCACTGGGAAATTGTTAGAAATGCAAATTATCAGGTTCACCCCAGACCTGCTGAGTCAGGAACTTTGGGGGTGGAGGCCAGCGTTATCAAGCCTGGCTGCTCACTGGCCTGAGTATGTCCCACTCGAGGAATACAGTCATATATTATGGGGAGTCTGCAGTTACTGATCGAGGTGGTATGGTGGCAACTTCATATACTGTTAGATCCATTGCTCTCCATCTTTAGACACTGCTGGGTTTTTTTTCCTTTTTAATATAAGTTTGTTATGTGAAACATACTTTCATAGTCAAAACTATAAAACCAGGTATATTCAGAGGCGCCTAGCTTTTCACCCCTTTCACCCTGTTCCCTCATATAAAGCACCATTTTTAAGAATTAGTTTTTGATTTATATCCTTCCATTGTTTCTTTTTGAAAGGATAGGTACACATGCAGGTAATTCATATTCGTCCCCTTCTATAAAAGGAGCATACAATGCCCAGGGCAGGCAGATTTTAGGTCTATTTCATTTTTTTCTTAAGAATGAAAGAACACACTTTTCTTCTGAAAATGAAGTGACTCAAAGGAAAACAAAAATCTCATCTGGAGAGGTGAAAGTGGGTGACCTCTGATTTCATTTATTCAGCTCATAGTTATTGAACTCAGTCCTGAGTGCTTAGTGCCAGTGCTGGGTGCTAGGTGCTGCCTCTCTTGAGCCCAAGTTCCAATTCCTGTCCCCACGGAGCTTACATTCTCTGTGGGCTGAGAACAGGCCCCCAGACCCAGAGGAAACCAGCAGGAGACTGACCAGGAGAGGCACACAGGTTGGGTGGTCAGGCCGGGTTCCTAGCAGAGACCTAAAGCCTTTGTCATCTCCCTTGTTTATTACAGCAGCTGCAGGGGACTTAAGGTTTTCCTTCTGGAAACTTCGAGGCTCCTCCTTTCTCTTTCAGCAGTGGTGCCTTTGCTGTTTCCATCCTGGTAACACTTTCATCTCGGATAATTCGCATTCGGGGGCTTGTGTGTCACCTGCCCCCCAGAGCCTTTCCAGCCCTTCAGTATCTCTGCTTTGGGCATTAATTTTCTTCCTGGTACTCAGCACTACCTGCCGTTACAGTGGGTGCATTTATTTGTCAGTCTCTCGAAGGTGAGCTCCCTAAGGGCAGACATTTATTTTATCTAGTGATCTCCTGGGCTCAGTGCATGGCGTGACACTCTTAATGTTTGTTGTGAGGATGGACAGATGGATACACATGGTTTATTCTGGCTCAGCAATTCATTAATGACAAGGGGTCTAGAATTATCTCAGAATAACTGCATTCCTTTGAGATTATGTCCTAAATTAGTCCATGTAAGCATTTCCATCTATCCATAGCAGTAAATGGAGTGCACATTCAACATGTGGTAGTTTATTATTCCTTACACATCATTATACCAAGTGAAAGGAGTTTCACAGAAAGGAAAATGGGCACGCCTGGTAGGTGTTTTAGAAGAATCAAAGGTAGCCAGGGCTAAGAGTTTTGGTCTGGAGTCTTTGAATGATTGTTCTTTTCTGGATGTGTGTGGGTTGGGGTGAGAGTGGTGGAGATGGCTAGAGGGTCAAGTTTGATAATGAGATTATAGGAGATTAGAGACACAGGCATACCTCATTTTATTGCACTATGTTTTGTTTTTTCCCCCCCACAAGTGGATGGATTGTGGCAACCCTGTGTTGATCAAGTCAATTGCCATCTTTCCAACAGGCTCAGATGATGGTTAGCATTTTTTAGCGATAAAGTATTTTTAAATTAAGGTAGTACAATTGATTTAGACATGCTATGGCACACGTCATAGACTACAGTATAGTGTAAACATAACTTTTATATACACTGGGAAACCAAAATATTTGTGTGACTTGCTTTATTGCGATGTTCACTTTATTGTGGCCTGGAAATGAACCCACAATATCCCCGAGGTCTGCCTGCAGTGCCTGGGAATGGGTGTTATTCACATCCGACAAGTTCAGACATTCTCAAGTCAGATATAAAAAGCTTTCCTTGGTTCATGCCAATCCAAGCATCATTCATCATAGGAAAGGTTAACATAATGTAGCCATTCTTAAAACTTTTGGCTTCAGGGCCAGCCGAGTGGCACGATGGTTAAGAACTGGCTTGGGACACCAGAGGGTCCCAGTTTGGATCCCACATATGAGGGCCAGTGACACTGCCCTCCACAGCTAAGATGCTGAACAAACAGCTCAACCTGGAGCTGGGCTGCCTTGAGTCGCCGGCGACGGTGTAGGCTGCAGCCCCTTGGCAGTGGGTTGCCATGGGCTACTGTATGTAGCCAGCAGCCAGTGTGAGCGGCCAGCAGCCGCAGTGAGTGGCCGTCCAGAAGCCGGTGACTGATCTGCCTCAACCGGGAAGAGCACAATGATGGTGCCAACTTGGGCCAGTGAAGCAACGTTCTCCAGAACTAGACTGAAGAACAAAACGACAGCAACTTGTCTGTTCCCCTTCCCCCAATTCCCCAGCACTGTTCCCATCCCCACAATTCCTCAATAAAAAAATTTAAAAAAATTCTAAAAAAACCCCCCAAAACAAGCAAACAAACAAAACTTTTTGGCTTCAGAATCCTCGAGAAGTGCAGTAACTTGCCCATGGCTGGTAAAGGGGTTGAGAAGGGTCTGTGCTTTTTACATACAGGTACGTAGCTGGCTGTTGAAGACAGTCAATAAATGAACACTGAATAATTTGAAACGTTTTCCCATAGAACTGACCAGTGATCCCAGACGTTTGAACACTGAGGAATGTTAAATAAACTGCGCCACAAGGTGGCGCTGTTGTAAACAAACTTCCTTTACTTGTCCCACCAGTTTTGATAATCATCTATTGGGGACACATTGTCAAAGACAGAACGTTTGTGTGATTTACAATGCTGCAGGAAATATGAGACTACTCATTGGAATTTACTGAGATATTTAAAATTTTTATAGTTCAACATTCCGTGAGCTAGCCTTGACGTTCATGACGTCGTTTAGTTCTTGCTTAGTGATTCTAACAGTGAAGCAGAAATGACACCACTTCTCTTTTGGTATTTATTTCCAGTAATGCCTGCCCCA